CCGATGGTCACTTCAGGCCCCTACCTTGCATGTCATGTGACAACAGGGATCCCTCACAATTCCCATCTCCTTCTAGAGTGCCTTCCTACACCATAAAAGGCTGGGAAGCAAAAAGCTTCATTTTGTAGATTCCCTTGAAGTTGGGTTACGTGAATGAGGTTTTAAGAATTTAGAGAGCAGGGGCACCTGGGTGGCTCAGTCAGTTAAGCATCTGACTTTGCCTCAAGTCATGATCCCGCAGCTTGTGAGTTCGAGCCCCACGACAAGCCCCACGTCGGGCTCTTGTGCTGACAGCTCAGAGCCTGAAGCCTGCTTCAGATTCTGTGTCTCTCTCTCTCTCTGCCCCTCCCTGGCTCACTCTCTCTTTCTCTCTCAAGAATAAATAAGCAATGAAAAATTAAAAAAAAAAAAAAAAAGAATTCAGAGAGCAGATGTGAGACAGACCATATATCTGCAATTTTCATTGTCTTCTCTGGGCAAATAAGACTATGGAGACATGGAGTTTTCCTGCAGCAGCTTCCCAGTGTCCAGCCCCAGCTTCGTGGGTACGGAGACACAGCTGCGGTTATGGTGGCATCCTGACTTTCAGCAACAGTGCTGTGTTACTAAATTCGACTGAGTCCCAAGGTAGCCTTAACACTTGCTGGACTGTCACACAAATGGCAGCACCTCTAGTGAGTTACTTCTGGGTGTTTACAGAGTCTTTCCTGGAGGCCCAAACTATAGCCCATTCTTCCAGGGCACCTAATGACTTATAGTACCTGTATAAATTCCTTTTCTGCTGGCTTCTATTTCCCATACTGCATGCTGGTCATTTGGTATCAGAGGTGGCTCTAGGCAAGGATGGGAATATTCATATGCTGAAAGAAAAGAACTGTGCACCAACAGCGGGGGAGGCCTGGGCCCCGCTTAGGCTTGGCCCATGGCTCAGAGAAGTGCACCCTCCCCTTATGCTTGTCCCCACAGCCTTCCAGAGCCTCTCAGTCCACCAGCTCCGCCACACCAGCAAAACCCTCCCGTGCTCACCCGCTTTTCCATCTTGACCACACATCCCGTTCTGCTTTCATCCACTGCCTCCATGTCGAAGGGCCCCTTGTCACCCTTCTTCTGGACGTTCAGGTCCCTGGGCCCCAGACCACAATCAGGTCCACCCTGCAGGGAAAGGGAACAGTCAAAGGGCCCAGACACACGCCACCGTCCCTCCCACAAGAGCATACATGCATACATAAATGGAAACAGAAGAAAATAACTACCAGTCTATCTTCTATGTCCAAAATTTTTTTTCAAGAACATGGGCAAAACAAAGATATTTTCTGGCAAATCAAAACTGAAAGATCTTTACAAGCAGGCCCTCAGGAAATTCCAAAGGTTACATATATATACCAGGCAGAAGGAAAAATGATTCTAGATAGAATATCCGAGACGGGTGGGCGGGGCACCTGGGTGGCTTGCTTGGTTAGCGTCTGACGTTAGCTCAGGTCATGATCTCTCAGCTCATGTGTTCGAGCCCTGTGTCGGGATCGACGCTGTGCAGAGCCTGCTTGGGATTCTCTCTCTCTCTCTCTCTCTCTCTCTCTCTCTCTCTCTCTGTTCCTCCCTCACTCGTGCTTCCTCTTTCTTTCAAAATAAAATAAATAAACTTAAAAAAAAAAAAAAAGAAGATCTGAGATGCAAGTGGGAATAAGGAGCAAAGAAGTCGTTGGATGGGAGGTATCTGGGAAGTGGACGCCAAGTGAAGGCCATCCTCCTCCTGTAAGTAAGGCCGTCCTCTGGCAAGTAATGTCAAGGCAATGGCTAAGTTCTCTGAGGTAGTGTTCCATGTTAATTTGCCAGCTTCGTGGGTGCTGGCAGGCTATGGCCAAACACTGGCATCACAAACACAGCACTGTGTTCTTGAATTCAATAGTTCCAGTGGTCCCACTCCCTCTCTGTGGGTGTCAAGACCACCAGAGCATGGTGCCGCTGGGCTCCCTTGCCACTTCCCAGGGATTCTCATGATTTCTGTCTCTTTCTTCCTGTGCACATCATCCTCATGCTGGTAGCCAGATGGTTAGAGCAAGCCATTCCATGCAGACATGACAACATTGAGAAGATTCTGTATTCTTTGTGTACCACTGTTTTTGTTGCTTCTTTTTCAACAATTTGAGTTATAATTAACATACAACTCATTCAAAATGTTCAATTCAATAGCTTTTAGTATATTCACACATATGTGTGACCATCACCCTTATCGATTTTTTTCTAAATGTTTATTTATTTTGAGAGAGTGTGTGTGTGTGTGAGCAGGAGTGGGGGGAGAGAGAGAGAGAGAGAGAGAGAGAGAGAGAGAGAGAGAATGAATCCCAAGCAGGCTCCTTGCTATCAGCACAGAGCCTGACATGGGGCTCAATCCCACAAACTGCGATATCATGACCTGAGAGGAGATCAAGAGTCAGGCCCTCAACTGACTGAGCCACACAGGTGCGCCTGTCAATTTTAGAACATTTGGTCACCTCAAGAAGAAAGCGCATACACTTTATTCATCATCTCCCATCTCCCTGCCACCTCCTCAGCCCTAAGCAACTAAACCACCTTTTCTCTATAGATTTCCCTATTCTGGACTTCCATTATGAATAGAAGCATACAGTATGTGGCCTTTTGTGGCTGCCTTCTCTCACTTAAAATAATGTTTTCAAAGTTCATTCATGTTAAAGCCTGTATCAGTACTTATTCTTTATTATAGCCAAATATTATTCCATTGTATGGATGTGTCACATTTTGGGTATCCATTCCACTATTGATGAACATTTGTGTTGTGTCTACATTTTGGCTATTATGAATAACACTGCTATAAATATTTGTGTATGAATTTCAGTGGGACATAATTTTTTTTCATTTTCCTGAGTATATACCCAGGAGTAGAATGGCTGGGTAATATGGGAACTCTATGTTTAATTGAGGAACTGCAAGATTATTTTACAAGTGGCTATTCCTTTTTACATTCCCGCCAGGGTTCTGAATTCCCACCAGGGTTCTGAATTCTCACCAGGGTTCTGAATTCTCACCAGGGTTCTGAATTCTCCACATCCTGACCAACACTTGGTGTTATCCGGCTTTTTTATTCTAGTTGCCCTAGTGAGTATGAAGTGGTATCTCATCGTGGTTTTGGTCGATGTGGGCATCTTTTCTTTTTAAATCAAAGAAATATTTTCCAGAAGTCCCTCAACAGACTTTCCACCAAGTCTCATTGGCCAGAAAGGGATCAAATACACCTTCATAAACCAATCACTGGCAAGCACAGTGGGATTACGAGTGAGGACTGACTTCCTGGTTTGGAGCTGGGGCTCTGGGCTGCCTCCTGCAAGGCACACAGAATCCAGATGGTGCTTACCCCCAACAACATCAGGTTCTGTTGGCAAACAGTAAGTAAGACAGAGGATCAACTGTGTGTGGCTGCTACGTGTGGATTCCAAGGCACCAGGCTCTGGTGGCTTTCTTCTGTCTTCTGGACCATTTATTTTTAGTCTCCTCTTCCTCTGTCCACCGCTGAAATGTCAGTGCTCCTGGTCTTCAACTTCACTGTTCTCAGCATCTACACTCTTTCTGGGTTATCTCATTTATCCTCATGGTTTCAATTCCCATTTGATGACTTCTGAAATTGCTTCTTCTCTGAACTTCAGATTTATTGATAATAATAACAACAGTAATAGTGTTGCCAGGATGTCTGGGTGGCTCAGTCCATTAAGTGTTCAGCTCTTGACTTCGGCTCAGGTCATGATCCTGTGGTTCATGGGTTCGAGCCCTGCATCAGACTCTGGGCTGGCAGTGTGGAGCCTACTTGGGATTCTCCCTGTCTCCCTCCCTTTCTGCCCCTCCCTCACTATGTGCTCCATATCTCTCTCTCTCTCTCTCTCTCTCTCTCTCTCTCTCTCTCAATAAATAAACTTAAATAAAAAAAATAGTGTTGTCATTTTTAGATACTTATTATGTTCCAGGCACTGTACATTATCTCATTTTATTCTCATTTAATAACAACTCTGAAACCCTATTATTATACCTATCTTATGGATGAATTAATAGGTTTAAAGAGATCCGGTTTTTTGCCCAAGGTAACACAACTAGTAGGTTGATGAAGGTAGGAGTTGGACCCAGCCTGTTAGACTCCAGAGCCCTGAGTCACTGCCTGTTGACATTCTGCACCCACCTCAAACCCAGGGCAGCCAAACGTCTCATCGCTTTCCCATTAACCAGTCCTGCCCCCATATCCCCTGCAGCAGTGAGGGAATGACCATTTGTCCAACTATTCAGTCCAGAAATCCAGGGGTCATCTTCCTTCTTCACCCCTTCACTAAGCGATACTAACTTTGCTTTCTAAGAATTTTTTTCTTTCTTCAAAGATTTTGTTTTCTAAGTCATCTTTATACCCAACACGGGGCTCAAACTCACTGAACTCACAACCCACAATCAGAAGTGGCATGCTCTACCAACCGAGCCAGCCAGGTGCCCCCTAATCATTTCCTCATCCTCTCCCCAGGTCTGGTCTGCTGTGACTGGGGTACATGCTGCCTGAGACTCCTCAGCCCCCCCGGGGTGGCTGAACAGGAACTTCCGGTGGCTGGAACCCCTGTGTTGGTTGCCTCTGGCTGCAAACAGCCCCTTCCCATTTTACCGTGGTGTCTCATACAAAAGGAATCATTTTCTGTGCATGTATAACAAGGAAAATATCAAGAAGCAAGATGTAGAGTAGATTGCACCCACCTCTCTGCTTTCCCTCCTCTAACTGCACCCTCCCTCCTAAGTGCAGCCAGTGAGCTACATGCATTTATCTCCTGGGTAATGACCCTCTGGCTGGGTCAGCCCCTCACCTCCCTCAGGACCAAGTCCACATTCCTGACTATAGTTTACAAGGCTCTCCAGTCCCCACTGTCCCCACTCTCACCTCTGCACAGAACTCGGTACTCCAGAAACATTACGTTTTTCTGTAGTCCTCTCTTTTGTCCTGCATTGTTTCTCACTCCAGCGTCTTGGCTTATAATATGAAGGTTAAGACCCTCTTTGGTCAGTTTCAAGTCCTTGCTGTCACTTGCTCACGGCAAAAGAGCAATCAATCTGTAAAATGAAGTTAACAATAGTACTTCCTTCAGAGCTGTTGGGAAGACAACATGAATAAACAAACGTGGCAGCGGTTTCTTTCATTTTTCATTTTGCTTCAAGTGCCGGGACCCCCTAGAAGCCCTCCCCAATCTTATTTCCCCAGAACCCTGTGCTTCATAGCATTGACCCCTGGCATGTCTGATTGCTTCTCTGCCTTGCCTGGCTGAGATCCCCCAGGTCTGGGATCCATTCTATCCATCTCAGCCCCTCGAATCCACCTGATGGGCCTACTGTGGTGACAGGGTCAAGGACAGAGTTGGAGATCCCCAGAGGAGGTGACAACATAACAGGGCATTGAACTTAACAAGTGCGGGAAGTTGTCAAGAAAGACCCAAGTGCCGCTCCCCAGGCAGAGAGGCTAGGCTGGAGGACTGGTCCCTGTGGGCAGGTGTTCTAGGGACAGAGCCAACACCACAGGTGTGGCCACTAGTCACCTGAACACAATCAGGATAGGCGGTGGCTCGTGTGTGCACATGTGCACACTGAGCTGTCCCTGTGGAGGTTCAAATCCTACCTGTCTTGCTGGGTGGGGAGAGGGGTGTGGGTGGGTGTGGGTGGGTGACTGTCTCCAGAAGGGCAGTGGAGAGGCAGGTTCTAGAATAAAGGGACAGTGCCTGGGGCCATGGAGTTTTGACTGTGGGGCGGGGGAGTGGCCACTAATAACCACAGACAGGGGCATCCTAAGCGTGTGCGGGGGATGTGTGAAGGCAGGCAGCAGGGAGAGACCATCTCAGTGGCAGGGGTGCAGGGAAGCAGAAACCACTGCGCTGGGCGCGGGGGAAGCCAGGGAAGAGATCACAGCAGTGGGGCGAAAGGGAGCCGGCTCCCGCTCTGCCAGCCAGACAGCCAGCGGAGGGGGTGTGGAGACACTAGCCTGTCTCGTCTTTCTCGCTGAGTCAGAGGGCGGGCTGGCGCTTGGTGCCCCACCTCTCTCAGGCACCACACCGTGTACGCTGTGTGCACAGCACAGTGTCGGCTCTGGGGGCACCGATGTGAACAAGCATGGTTCAGAACAGCAGCCACTGTGTGGTGGCTTGTTGCAAGGGACGTCCCTACCTTCAAACTTAAACTTCTTCCTGATAAAGCTCCTGGATCGCAGCTTTAAGGGAGAGGGGGGTGATCCCAAGGTTTGGCCCTTTCTGGAGACCTGGCACTTGGAAGAGGTTTTAAAGACTGCAGGGCCAGGAGTGTTCGAGAAGGAGCCCCCTGGGCAACAGTCAAAGGCATCTTCAAATATGACGCACAAAGACCATGTCCCTTAAGGACAAGATCTTGCTCCAAACTCTGAGGTCCATCCCAGGGGCAGAGAGTGACAGTGGCTCTCCTGAATCCATTTGCCTGTGAGGTGTTGATTTCATCCTCATATCAACACTGATGGTCACAGTGAGTCCTTCAGGGCACCCCACTCTGGAAGCATTGGAAAGTCTGACTCTGGCTTCCTCCTTCCCTTGGTTGGCCACATGTGCCTGTGTTTATCCTTTGATTAACAGAGAATGATGGGGCGCCTGGGTGGCTCAGTCAGTTAAGCGTCTGACTTCAGCTGAGGTCATGATCTCGCCGTTTGTGAGTCCGAGCCCCGCGTCGGTCTCTGTGCTGACAGCTCAGAGCCTGGAGCCTGCTTCAGATTCTGTGTCTCCCTCTCTCTGCCCCTCCCCTGCTGGTGCTCTGTCTCTGCCTCTCAAAAATAAATAAACAGTAACAACAACAACAACAACAACAGAGAATGCAACACACAGCATTGAACACACATAAGGGTAAGTAGAAGAGAGTAACGTATGTCCACTAACTGGCATATGTCATCAACCATCCATGACCTCATGCTTCCCATCTGCAAAATGGGAACTCTCCTCTGTAGTGGGGACTTTCTAGGTGTTAATAATTCTGACAGTGGTTCCCAATTTTATGAGGCAAAAGAGTCTGAGGTGAAGAATGACATTTAGAAGTAACAGTGAGGGATGTCCTCAAGGAAAGGGGCAAGTGTCTTTGCCATATTGTATGTTTACCCCTTAGACCCCAAAGGTCCAGACAGCCACCAACCAGAGCAGCAGGTGCTCGCCCTTGCCCACAGCCTTGCCTGTAGCTTCCTGGACGACAGGCTATTGCCCTTGTCCGTGCTCCCTTGTGAGACACTTGGTCAAGGAGCCCATCCTCTCACTCTGTGAAAGGGCAGGCATGACCCGACCTTGTGGAGATTCTTCTCCACTGAATTAACACACATCTATCTGTGCTTCACAGACTTAGTGCTCAGCACTCAGCGTCTTTTGGGTTCGTCTTCCCAGGGACCCTGGGAGGTAGCATTACAGTCCCATTTTATAGATGAGGAAAGTGAGGCTCAGTAAAGTTTCAGAACCACCGAAGAACATCAGCCGGTTCCAGGAAAGGATTCAAGCCTACGCCTCTGTCTAGGTCCAAAGCTAGTGCTCTAAAGTATCCTCACAGTCTCTCCTCCCCTCCCCTTCCCGAGAAGGCGTCACTGGCCTCCTGTCTCCCCTAGGTTGGGGCACGTTAGTGCTCAGAGCCGGCAGACCCGGGTTTGGGGAAAACCGCCCGCGATAAGGTGGGAATCCCTGCCTGACTCACCAGTCTCTAGCATCTGCTGGTCTCTCGGCAGCTAGCAAAAGTAGGAATGGAAGCAACTGTCCTTCCTCCCTGCCTTGCCTTCCTCCCTCCCTGACCCCCATTAACACTTCTGGAGCTGCTCGGCCGACTCACCGGCGCGCTGTGTCTGGGCTGCACCTGCGGCGCTGGCGGCGTCCGCCCACCCGGAGGCCTGCACTGGGGGTGGGCCCGGAGCCTCCCCGACCACAGGGCGCGGGACGGGTGCCGTGCGTCCTCAACGCAGCCACCGCTCTGCCAGGTCCGGGAAACTAAGCAAACCACGCAGTGCGCCAGGCGGGGCGGAGAGGGTTGGAGACGAGGGCGCCGGCAGGCGGGGCTGCCCAAGTGCGTCCCTTGAGGTCCCGTGGTGAGCTGTGGCCAAGGGGTGGGGTGGGGCGGGGAGGGTGATTACAGAGAGTCCGGTGTCCCTTGGGCCTTGGCACGCCGGTCAGTGATGGAGCTCTCCCCTCCCCGCATTCCAGCTCATTCCCCTAGCAGCCCCTTACTTGGCCCGCCACGCCTGGTGAGCCGCTTTTTCAGCACACGAGGGACAGTTTAAACAAAACATCTCTAGGACAGACTTCGTTTGTCCTTCAAAATGACAATTTCTGAGTTCTATGTGGGTGGAGATCTGCTAAGGCTAAGATGACCTGCTTGCAGGGGAAGAAGGTCCGGGAGGAGAGAGGCGCCGCGGCGTCTTTCTGCGGGCCTTGCCGCAGAAGCGGCGCCAGAGAGGCCGGGTCGGTTTCACCCGGGACGCTGCTGGGTCCCGGCAGCCGCCAGCGGGGGCGCGTTCCACCCAGAAGCATTCCCGCGGAGGCCGCCGCTCCCCGCTTCTGCATTCCGCAAGTCGGGGCCAGAGAGCTGCCCCCACGCTGCCCCACGGCCAGGGCTGGAGGCGGGGGCGGGGGGGGGGGTGGTCATCGTGTGCCCGGGAGCCCGGGCTCCTTTCTCCCGCGCCAGGCCCTCGGAGGCGCCCGAGCAGCGCGTGCGGGTGTGGGTGAGCGAGGGTAAGCCGGCCGCTCATCCTCAGGGAGGCTGGGCGGACTGCGTGGGGCGGGAACCACCTCTCCCGGCCTCTGCGGGGGAGAGCGCCCCCACCCCGCACGCTCCGGGGGGCGTGCGACCTCGACGTGCCCCGGGGAGGGGGGGTTTCTTGTCGCCTCGGCCCCGGCCTGCGCCTGGGGGCTTTGAACTGGCCTTGGTGGCCGGCTGCCGACGACACTGCTCCCTGGCGGGGAGAATGTTTCACTAAATCTCCCGCTCGAGGCTGTCCGAGCGGAGAAGGGAGCCTCACTCCTTCCTTTCTAAATCAAATGCTTTAGGGAAGGTCCTTAGCAGAATCCCTTCACTTGTGTTCTCCTTCATTAGCAGCCTTCATTAAAGCAGCCCTCGCATTAAAAAAACAAAACAAAACAAAACAAAACAAAAACTCTATTGGGATATGTTTTACATACAGTAAATACGAGAAATTTTACATACTGTAGATACTTCTGTAATTTTTAAAGTTTATTTATTTTGAGAAAGAGAGCCAACGCCCCGCAGGAGCAGGGGGAGGGGCCAGAGAAAGGGAGAGAGAGAATTCCAAGCAGAAAGTTCCCTTCTGCCCCTTTGCAGTCAATCCTTTACCTTCTCTTCCCTGGCCTGAGACAACCACTCATCTGATTTCTGTCACTATACTTTGTCCTCCCTGGAATTTCATATAAATAGAACCATACAGGATGTGGCCTTTTGTGCCTGGCTTTTTTCACCTAGCACAATGCTTTTGAGAGCCATCCACGTGGCTGTGTTAACAGTAGTTCCTTCCTTTTGTTGGTGAGTAGAAGACTATGCATGTACTGTAAGCTGTTTATCCATTTGGACATTGGTGGGTGGGTGGGGGAGGCCCAGCTGGGCTGGTGGGGAGGTATCCTCTCAGGATCCCAAAGGACTTTTGAGTTGTTGTTGGACACGTGGGCTACATCTGGACATCTGGTTTTGAGATACAGTGAATAAAAGTGCCTTGAATATTCCTGTAAAAGTCTTTTTGTGGACCTATGTTTCCATTTCTCTTGAACGAAATACCTAGAAGTGAATGGGATGGCTTGGTTGTATGGCATTTTTAACTTTCGAGGAAGCTGTCATGAGCACACTATGAAGGTACACATACAAGTTATATCTAACAGCTTGATTCAATCCTAAACAAGGTTAACGTAATTATAAAGCAGGTTCAGAATTCCAAACTCAAGGACATTTCACCATGTGGTTAGCTTGGCTTCCTATATAACACACAGACCAGAACATAAGCCACACAACAAACAAGATAACAGAAGGATGTAGGAAGTTAATGAACCAAACTCAAAGTCTGTGGGCCCACAGTTGAGATAAGGTATCAGTCTGGTCTGAGTCAGCCCTTGGCATTTACTGCCTATTATATTCGATCAGTGAAGGATCTCAGTCCTGTTTGGAGATCAATCCAGCTGCCTTTTTGAAGTGGTCAGACACAGAAGGGTCTTGTCTGAAGAGTCTGACAGTTTGCTGCAAAATCCTCCCCTTTTAAAAGGGATTTAATCAGTGTTGGGCCCCTGCAGACCTCCTGTGCTTCTGCTGGTTATCAGTCCTGGGGTGTCAGCTGATGCTGGTCTCCCTGATCTCTCATAGCTACACTACCCTTAACTGCTTACTCCATCTTGTTCTCCGTGCTGTCAAACTGCTTTTCAGAGTGGGTATACTATTTTAACATTCCCACCAGCAATGCATGAAAGTCCATTACAGTTATCTCTGCATTTTCTTAAAGGTAAAAAGCAGAGTTTCTAATTATGACTGTGTCCAATTTATCAAAAATTTTCCTTGGTGGTTCACTCTTTTTACTCTAAGAAATCTTTGCCTACCTTAATGTGAGGTCACAAAGATTTTCTCCCAGAACTGAATAATTTTAGCTTTTTGCTTAGGTCTATGATACATTCAAATTAACTTTTACATATGATGGGAAGTAGGGATCAGGTTTCATCCCCCCCCCCCCCATATGGATATCCAGTTTTCCAGCCAACATTGAGGACCACTGTCCAGGATGATGGCAAGTCTTGGAGACTTAGGCTACTGGTAAATGAGAGTTCCAGTCCCTAGATAGGGAATAAATAGGTGGAGGTGGCGAAGATTTAGGGGGGAGTGTTGTTTTTTCTTTTTAATATTTTTTAATGTTTATTTATTTTTGAGACGGAGACAGAGTGCGAATGGGGGAGGGGCAGAGAGAGAGGGAGACATAGAATCTGAAACAGGCTGCAGGCTCTGAGCTGTCAGCACAGAGCCCAATGCAGGGCTTGAACCCACGAACAGTGAGATCATGACCTGAGCCGAAGTTGGTCGCTTAACCTACTGAGCCACCCAGGTGCCCCTAGGGGGAAGTGTTTTTTTAATGTTTATTTATATTTTGAGAGAGAGAGAATGTGTGCACAAGAGCAGGGGAGGGGCAGAGAGAGGGGGGACAGAGGATCCGAAGCGGGCTCTGCGATAACAGTAGTGAGCTGATGTGGGTCTCGAACTCCAGAACTGTGAGTTCATGACCTGAGCCAAAATCAGATGCTCAACCAATTGAGCCACTCAGGTACCCTGAGGGGGAAGATTTTAAGTTTGGTTTTGGTTAGCTGGTAATAGGGAGATTTCCAGAAGGTCGAATGTGTATTTTTGAAGCTCAGAAAAAAAAGTTCTAGATTGGAAAAACAGTCTGGTTGGCCACCAGAATGTGGAACAGTGGTTCTTAACCTGGGGTCTGTAGACCCAGTTAATTATATGGATAGTTTTGTGTGTACGCATATATGTATATTATTTTTCCTGGGGTGCAGAAGGGTTTCTAATTTCAAAAGGGCCCATGACCCTACAAAGGCTAAGAACCAGGGTAAAACAGTGGTGAGTCCATGGGAACACTGCCAGGGCAAGAAGAGACAAAGGCTCATTTCCCCCACTGTGGCCCAGCTGGAAGGTTCTGTCTGCCTGGCCTTCAGGCACCCTGCCCCTGGGATCTTTGCCTCTCTACTTGCCAGGGTAACGCTTCATCGTCCTTCAGTTTCTTTGTGTCTGATTGAAGTTTTTCCTGCTTTAATTTACATTTTTTAATTGAAGTAATATACGTGTACAGTTTAAAAAGTTCAGATAGAAACCCAAAGCTTACATGAGAAGGGCAGTCTGGTATGAGAGTCTGATGATACAATCGAGTAACCCTGAGGCCTTCTCATCTCTGGGTCGGGGCTCAGCCTCACATCTTCCAGTCCTCCAGGCTCCTGCCTTTTCCTTTGTCCCAACCTCTCTTTCATCTTCCTCCTCCACTATATCACCACTTGGAATCAGTACTAGATCCTGTGGGAAACCAGAAGACAGGTGCAGAGCCTGTGCTGAAACCCTCTTCACTTCTTCTGTTCTTAGCCCACAGGGGGTGGGGACCAAGTTCTCAGGTTGTGCAGCCTCAGGAAGAGCCGAGGTCTTGGCTCAGGTCCTCCTGTGGTTTCCCTAACTCACAAGTGACAGGTTAGCTGTGCAACAGTGTTTCCTATGTTGTCAAGAGGCCGGAAGAGCTGGGATGGGGAGTCGGTGCTCAGGAATGAGCTGGCTTTGCCACCAGCGAGGTGTGACCTTGAGCAGGCCAATTCCTTCTCTGGCCATCGCAGCGCCCTCCTGACTCTTGCACCCAGCCTGGAGGCCTTCAGTGATGGGGAGTATCCTGCCTGCTCTGCCATGTCCTCAGCTGCCTAACAAAGCAGCTTATTCTCTTGGTCCCCGTGTCTCACAGGATGGGAGGAAGCAGCCACGGCATCTTAGGATGGGGAATGTTGGACTTCGCCATTTGGATATACCACTTGATGTGGAGGACTTTTTTTTTTTTTTTTAATTTTTTTTTTCAACGTTTATTTATTTTTGCGACAGAGAGAGACAGAGCATGAACGGGGGAGGGGCAGAGAGAGAGGGAGACACAGAATCGGAAACAGGCTCCAGGCTCTGAGCCATCAGCCCAGAGCCTGACGCGGGGCTCGAACTCACGGACCGCGAGATCGTGACCTGGCTGAAGTCGGACGCTCAACCGACTGCGCCACCCAGGCGCCCCAAGGACGTTTTTACCTCAAGGAAAATTTGAATCAACACATTTAATCCAAATTATGTAAATGTTGATTAATGTTTGGACAGAGAATTTTCCAGAGTAAACTTTGCTAAGCTGACAATTAATTACTTGATGTTCTTTTTTGCATCCAGTTTTCTTTTTGAATGAACTACTTTTAATACAGTTTAAAAAAACTATTAATGAATGGCCTGTCTTGGTTTCACTAACATCTTCTGTTCCTGTATGACACAAAGTGCTCAGACATTCTGCAGTGTGTACCTGGAACAGG